CATATTAGGCACAGAGGTTTAGATCTATATGTTATAGACCAACCAAGCATTCGGTGACTGGTGTGGTCAGCATCACGCCGGCCTCCTATACTTCCCAGGATTTTATCTGGTACACATCTGAGACTGGCTCCACCTGAGAGCCAAAGTCATTTGTGAAAAAAGTCCTGCTCCGTCAAGACCTGAACACGCGACTTTCGGATCCGCAGGCAAACGTCTAGTCGCTACACCACAAAGCTGCCAAACTTTCCGTGTGGCACAGTTGTAGTAGGTTTCCACAAAACGGTTACAAAGTCGACCCGTGTGGGTGGGTGTAGGTGACGATCCCGTTTACAACGTTGTCAACAAGACGTAACGACCTCACGATTCACACATGGGATTTAGACTCTGAGCGCTCGTGTTTTGTCATGCCCGAGAGCTTGGAACAGGGAAATAATCTAGGCTCGTGGGAAATGGAACCGTGAGGCTTGCCCAGGTTCTTGTCACATCCATCAATTAAGAACGTGCCAATTATGGGTGTGGTAGTCGTGGTAGCACGGGGATAGAAAGAAGCTTGCATGTCGACCTGCGAGTTCGATGGAATCTGCATACACGCCATTTTGACGACGTGGCTGTCCTTGCTTAAAATGCTTACCGTGAAAAGTTATGGGAGGTAAAGACGGCCGTGCTAATAGTGAGATTCCCCATCAAGTGCAGACTGGTCTGCGATTTAAAAAAATCAACTAATAGGGCGCCGACACAAAAAATATAAATTTTTCCAGTCATAGGAAGGTGTACTGAGCCCCTTAAACATATGTAGGAGGGTTAGTGAGCCAAACAGGCTTAACTTTTCTTAAGTTAATCATAATATTAACAATAACATGCTCATCTGTCTGGCTGTAAAATGTCGAGTAGCAAATACATTTTTTATTATATTTAAAATTCTTCTTCTACTTCTTTCTCCTTCTTCTCCTTCTTCACCTTCTTCACCTTCTTCTTCTTCTTCTTCTTCTTCTTCTTCTTCTTCTTCTTCTTCTTCTTCTTCTTCTTCTTCTTCTTCTTCTTCTTCTTCTTCTCTTCTTCTTTCTTCTTCTTCTTCTTCTCCTTCTTCTTCTTCTTCTCTCTTCTTCTTCTTCTTCTTCTTCTTCTTCTTCTTCTTCTTCTTCTTCTTCTTCTTTTCTTCTTCTTCTTCTTCTTCTTCTTCTTCTTCTTCTTCTTCTTCTTCTTCTTTCTTCTTTTTCTTCTTCTTCTTCTTCTTCTTCTTCTTCTTCTTCTTCTTCTTCTTCTTCTTCTTCTTCTTCTTCTTCTCTTCTTCTTCTTCTTCTTCTTCTTCTTCTTCTTCTTCTTCTTCTTCTTCTTCTTCTTCTATTTTCTCCTTCTCCTTCTTCTTCTTCTTTTTTTTTTTCGTTCTTTTGAAATACAGTATCAGTAATGTTGCCTCTATCGTGAAATTCACTATGTTTTGTAATTCACTTAGCGACCGGTAAAGTTTGGCTTGCACCGGTATTTCTCTTCCCTCCGTGTTCCTGTGCTTTATTTTGAGACTAGATCTATTCGCAGATATAGATATATTTCCTATAGCGTTTGTGCGTGGCATCCTGTTTTTATCGTGCAACTGCTGGCTGGTTGCCTCCGACTTCAGAACCCAGTTTTGGTTATTTTGGTAAGCTAGATCGACGTACTGGAAACAATTCGAGTCGTGAAAGTTCCAGCTACCATTTTATTTTGTCCGATGCGCACTTCTCCTCTCTGAAATAATGTAAAATTAATTTTTACAAGAAAAACTTCAAAAAGATAGCTTTTATGCAAAGAAAAGAGGGTGGCGAATTTCCCTTACACGTCTTATAGATTCCTAAGAAATGAAGCTGTGACGCTTATCCATGATCTTGTCACAATTACTGGTCAGTTTTGGAACGTGCCAGTAATAGGAGTGCTAGCCGCGGTGGTTAGAAGCTTGCCTGTCGACCTCAAGGCAGATAGAATCAGCATCCATGTGAATTTTTACAACTGACCTGGCTCTGGGCAAGACAGATGTGATCTCATGCCTGTGGGACAGTGCAAAACGTCTTCCTTCTTTTTTCTTTTCGATCCTTCTGCCATAAAATCTATATCACGAGGCCAACAGCCTTTGTGAAAGCTATAGAGCTGTCCAAATCTCATACAACTTTGTCTTCATTGAGCTTTGAACAAACTAGATTGCTTCTCTGTTAGCAGCATACAGTTGATCTTGTTAGAGCACAGTAACAAATGAAAAGGAAGGTATCAAAGCCCTAAGTGGATATGATACAGCGGGGATTTTCTGCGGGCTCTAGAACCACTCGGTAGAAAGTATATTATAACGCCTTCCGCCTTTATTTTCCCTGACCTTACTATGTACATATTTAAGGCTAGGTCCCCTGAGAACTAAAGTCATCTCTAAACAAAAGTCCTGCTCCGCAAGGACCTGAAACCACGACCTTCAGATCCGCAGACGAATGTCTTGCTGTTACACCCAGCTGGTAATCTGGTAATCTGGTAATCCTAGTTTCAGCATCATAGCAAACGGGTCACCCCATTGTTGCTCCGCTCCTGTGCCAACGAAAAACACTCGTAGCTCACAGTGTCACACCATGCACTCAACTCAGAAGCTGGGTGACGAAACCATATCCTTCCAGTCTACAAATGGAGCAAAAATGCAGCGGCCACCGCCTGGCAGAACTGCCACGGCTAAAAAAAAAAAAAAAAAAAAAAAAAAAAGTGGCCGTGCCTAGCGTCCACTGTGACTTGAAGCATTATGTGAGGGGTTAACAAATGGTCACCCCAGCAGTACCCTCACTATTAGCTGGGAAAGGGACTTAGGACATTACATCCACCAGCAGGCGTCGCCCCTACAACGACCTGACTGCCTTCGTTAACGACTGTTCACCCAACAGCCATGCAGTTACACCCAGCTGGCTGTCATTTGGCATGTAGTGCTAAATCTACATTTTATGAACCAATCTTCACTCAATGAGTGATGTAGTCAACATCACGATGGCCGCCTTTGCTTTCCATAGCTTTACCTGGTATTCTTTTATGGCTGGGTCAACCTGTGAGCCACAGTCATTTTATTAAAAAAAAATCCCCCTCCGTCAGGTCCTGAACCCATGAATTTGAGATCTGCATGATGCTAAAAGGCTGACCAAAGCAGTTTCAAAGATAACCTGTCTGAGGTGGCGATTGTCGGGTTTCTGGAAGGCAACAGCAATTACGTTTAGCCCGGAAGTCCATTATTTCTGGAAAATTAATGTCATTTTGGAATGTTTCTGCTTTGTCTCATAATCTATAACGTTGCTGGTATTTTCACTTAAAGCAGACGTTTGATGGGATCCACCTAGCAACATGGGTTGCTAATCTCTTCTAGACTAGTCTAATCTAATCTAATCTATCTAATCTAATCTACTCTAGGGTAGTCTCATCTAGTCTAATATAATCTAACTGAATTGTATCTAACATGTAAGTGTGTCTAGGTTTGGGTTTTAAACAACGGATCAACATCATGGCGCAAGGGTAGTAACTCATAAGTTATCCGTTCTACTTCTAAGTCTGACTCCGAAGAATCTCAGCGCAGTGCACAAACTCTGTAGCAACGGCTACGATCCTTAAAAATTTTGTGTAAATTTGTAACTCCAAATTTCGCCCGAGTAGCGCCGCTAGGCAATTTTTTTTTCGATTTGTAACTGTCAGGGGATTTCTTTATTCGTGCGCAACAAACAGACGCGTCCGATTTTTACTACTAAGGGACCAGGGAAAATTACTAGAAGGTTAAGCCTGCACCACTCGAGAAAGACGCCATACCTCGAGACCACTCAGCTTTCTCCACCCCTTCCTGACTTATGTAAAATGATTGTCAACCTTATGAAACGTGATGCATGGCATGTATGGGACAAGGGTACTTGAGGGGGGGGGGGGGGGAGGGAGAGGGGGGTGGTCCGAAGTGGTCAAGCCGCTTGCCTTGCACTTTAAATGTCGCATGTCAAGGGTTCATTTCACGGCTGCGCCCTTCAGTTCACGAGTGCAGTTTTTAATGAAGATCCCTGTGGATCGTCGGCAGAGCTATGGAGTTCGTGCTCTGTGCGGCGCTCTCGACAGTCAGCTAGCCGTTCTGCAGAGAGAGAGAGAGAGAGAGAGAGAGAGAGAGAGAGAGAGAGAGAGAGAGAGAGAGAGAGAGAAACGCCAGATGCGTTTCAAAGCTGCCTCGTTCAGTTCACGAGTGCTGTTTTTAACTGAGATTCCTGGCGCTACTGAGTTCGGGCTTTGTTCAGTGGTTTCTGCTGACAACTAGCCGCTCTATGGACAGGGACCGAGCCAAACGGGAAAGAACCCAGTGCAATGAAGATAAACTTCTCTAATTCACTTGCACCTTCACTGACAAGTGTCACTAATTTCTGTTAAAATAACGGGCAAGCCCGGCTCTCTAGCGTAGTTGGCTAAACCGGATTGCGAGGTGAGCGGGTGACGAACTTCTTGATGTCCGGGTTCACTCCCGGGGGTAGGCAGAAAGGCCACATTTATCCCAGATTTACGGTATTTACAATGGAATCAAGGCTGAAAGGTTGCGATATCCATAATACCGAGCTTAAGGGTTAACAACTCATGGCTTCTGGATACTAAAACAAACAAATAACGGGCAAAATCTGTCCTTGATAGCCTTCCACTCCTTGTGTTAAAATTAATGTTTTATTTGCAAATGGGACAGAAACTTCGTATTGGTTGTCACTCATCATCATCAAGTGCCTTGCCGACTGGTGAAGGTGATCATGCCTCTCCACAGTCTGCGATCTGCAACTGCATGTATCATTTCATGTGTTGAATCCTCACTGCTATGACAAAAGGCTGTCAAAATTCTTCCCACCTTGTCTTTCACCATCTCTCTTTTCCCAGATCTTTCCAGTGGTCACCTTATGTTCCAGTTTCATTCTTCTCATAAAAAGACCAAAAATGATGACTGTCTCTAGTGTAGATAAATATATATCTTTATTAACCTTTAACCTTTTGTATTTCAG